TCCTCCCCTTCAGTCTTCTATCTGACCTCCGTCCTCCCCTCGCCCCGGTTGTGGCCCCTGACATGTCGTCCTCTGTGTTTGCAGTCGGCCCTTCAGTCGTATTTGGAGGGCGTGGATCTCGGGCTCTCTCAGCTGCGAGTGGCGCACGCCGAGGTCCATGGGGTCCAGGAGGCGATGGGGGAGGTCCAGGAGATGTGGAGGGCCAGTGAGGGGCCCCTCAGTCACCTGCAGGCCATTCAGCACCTGGTGATGGAGCACGTCCAGCTGTCCGTGGTCATCCGCAGCTTGCCGCATGTCTACGCAGGTAACGGCAGCCGCGGCGCGATTCCCCATCGGTTGCCTCGTTATAGGGACGTGAATGATGATTCTTCTTCTGTTCCCAGTACCGGCGCTGATCCGTCAGACCAGGGAACTCATTGAGAAGCAGGTTCTATTGGAGGCCCACGTCCACCTCCGGCACCTGGAAAGCCTGCGCGATGACGTGCTGTATCGGCTGCAGAAGGCCGGGCCTTGGCTCAGCACCGGGAGGGACGACCAGAACCACAGAGAAGCTTTGGATCTGGTCAGAGAGTTCTTTGCTGCTGTTCAGGACCTGAGCCAGGAATTGGGTCATACTCTTTTCTCATTGGCTCACTCGGCTCTGGCTGTGGCGCGCCGCGACCCCTCAGTCCTGGTCTCTGCCATCCGGATCATTGAGCGAGAGGAAGTTCTGGATGTGGAGGAGTCCCGGGGTCCTCCGCAGCTCTTGTGGAGACCTCCTGGGCGGCCCAAGCGGTGGCGGGAGAAGTTCTTCCGGGCCGTGGAGACGGGCGTCTGCCAGAGACTGATGACCCCCGCCGTGGAGTCCCAGGAACTCCATCCCACCGACCTCGGCAGACACCTGAAGGAGGTTCAGTGCCGGACGGTGGAGGAGCTTCTGGCTGTCTCGGCAGTACTGGTGCCGTGTCTACCTCCGCACTACGACCTGTGCCGCAACGCCGGGAACATGTGTCACCAAATCATCTCCCGGCACCTGCGGGAACTCCTCCACCGCGACCT